ATATATATATATATATATATATATATATATATATATATATATATAAATATATATATATACTTTCCAGAATGCAAAAATGAGGAGCAAATTGGCTATTCAAAGGAGGATCAAAAATTTATGGATATGGTATCAAATTCGGCCAAGCTTGTTGATGGGCATGAACTTTTGTATATATATATATAAAGATATAAAGATAGAAAGATATATGATTTGCAGCAGATTAAATGTTAAAACAAGTAAATGGGTGCTTCTTTCTCTCTCTCTCTCTCTCTCACACACACACACACACACACAAGCACATGCTCATGCTCCATTTGCTATGAGAAAGAGGCTTTGACGAGCATCGACCCAGTCAGTCCGTCAGTCGCAGTCTGGAGAAATACTCAAGACGTACTTTTTTATTTATATAGCCTATATTTTTTTAACTAACTGGGTTCTCAATCGTCTGGTAAAACTGGAGCTTCGGATTTCAGCAACATCTGCTTTTAAACGGAGAAAGCCCACCAAATACTCAACACTTCATCATTGAATCCCGAATATATATTCAATGATCTGAATGACCCAGGAGTTTGTTTATCCTAATGATCTCTAAAGACGGCGTCGATCATGATAATTATATGCTAATTTATTCCTAACGGCGAGGCGGCTTGTTTTAAGCATGAGGCATAAATAATGTTCAGCACTTGCTCGGATGGGAGACCTTTCCAGTCTTTCTCTACAAACTTGGAGGATTTTGACTCGATACGGAGTGTGCTTCTGTACAGGTTTGTAGAAAGTGTTTATTCATATCATCTCTTGTGGATTTGCTTGTTTGTTTGTTGCTTTTCTCGGTTGATTTTCGAAAGCCGAGCAGTTTTTTTTTTCTTTCTGGCGTGCTTGAGGGGATTTAAAGACCTCGTGCGGTTTTTGGAGGCCACTCGAGTGCAAACTGAAAACACCATATAATTCAATATATATTATTAGTATTTACGACATGTAAATCGACATTTTACCCTTTTTTATTTAGTATTGCTATATTGTATTTTTATGGTTACATTTAAATAACGCAAAAAATATGTTATATTCCGTTTTTAAGATATTTTGAACTTTTTTTCTGTTTTAAATACCGAAGTTTACTATTATAAATACCGAAGTCACCTGGGGCCTGTTTCGGTAAGGAGGTTCAACCAACTCTGAGTTTAAACTTGAACTCTGAGTTGATTTACAGAGAGATTAAAAACTCAGAGTTTTCGGTTTCAGAACAGCTGATCTGAGTTGGGTCAATGAACTTTGAGTAGACCAACTCAGAGTTAAGTGCGCACACTGTGACTAAAAAAAGGCATTATCAATGGAGCACAGACATTACGAGTGACTATGGCAATATCTTATAAAAGAGATCAGCATTTCTTTCTCCAGCTGAACTTGATGTGCTCATGCAAAGTAATAGCAAATATGACCGTATATATTTGAAAAGAAGCAACCATCAGTGAAACAGAGACAGCGTGGGAAAACAGCTGCACAAGTTAATGCATACTTTCACTTTTTAAGTATTTAAATATTTAACTATAATAAAATAAGTTATGTAATGTGTGATGTTTATAATTTTTTTGTAAACTTTTATACACATTTATCAGTTTTAATTGATTTAACAGTGTACTTGTGTGTCTGCCTTTTTTATTGATCAAGTGATAGACATTTAGAAGGTAAGCAGTACTAAAAAATTTTTTTTAAAAGAATAATGATCCCATTAATCTAGTAACAGTGCATGTCGAAGGTCAGTGAATTTAATTTAATTATTCATTAAAAAAAGGACAAGCCATTCTCGTACGTGACTGTTCTGTGTGACTAAAATGTAGGCAATAGCTATGTTTCCATCCAAATATATTATATAAATTTATGTGCAAAACTGGAATATTGTATAAAAGATGCGAATAAAGCAGAGATTTCATCCAACGAGTCAAAGAGAAAAAAATCGTCTCTTCCTGATTAAACTGGCATCAAATATCAACAGTAAAAACAGAATTTACTGTGGTAGAAGAAGCTGCGTTAATGATTTCTTTATGTAATTAATGTACTTGCGCATCGATGTCAGAAGACAATGCTGAAACACAATGAACACGTGGGGGCGTTTGAAGCCATGAGATGCAGAGATTCTTGACACGCTCCAGACACTCAGAGGTAATTAATAATATACACTAATACTGAAACAGTTAAGGCATTTTAGAATGACTAAAACAATATTTAAGACATGTTACAGTGTGCTCAGCCTGGTGGTTTGTCCATTCACACACATTTTCATCATCATATGATCATGAACTTTTTTAATGCTCTGTACATACTGTAATATGTTTAATAAATGTGTTTCCAGCGTAGTTTATGCGCACATTTTCTAACAAATAAAAGCTTATCTTACTCAGTTATGCGCGTTTTTTATGCATATTTTAAAAAGTTATGTGCATTATGACATTTTTATCAATCGTTTGTATGCACATATCCAAAATGAGCATTAAAATAGGTGGGTGGAAACGTAAAGCTAAGGCGAGAAATACTGCTTCGTCTTTAAAAAAGGGGAGGAGACCGACAGAAACTCAGAGTTTAGAGAATAAAACCTGCTCCTGACCAGGTTAGGTTCACTGAGTAAGTTTCCACAGTAACTGACTCAGAGTTAAAGTTACCTCTCTTTCAGAAACAGGCTTGATTTACCCTGCTTGCTCGAGTTTAACAAACCCTCCATTTTGAAACGGAAAACCCAGAGTTTCTCTCATTTCAGGATTAAAATACTCTGAGTTTTCACTTAACCTCCTTTCTGAAACAGGCCCCTGAGCTGTTGTCGTTTATCATAATGCGTAACTTTTTTCCACGCTGTACAACAAAAGCTTCCGTGCTGCTATGGAAACGGCTCGATTCTACCAATCACAGCTTGAGTTGCGTGTCATATGGCGTTCTGGCGAGACCCGTATGCGGATAACATGGCAGGACGCTGTTGCTGTTCAATAGCAAAACCTAGCTTTTAAATGTACATTTTAGTGGCTCCCAGGAGGTTTTATTAACCATTATAATGCGCTGATGGCTTCACTACAGATTATAGAAGCAACCGGGGCGGATTTACGCGAAAATGAGGAGGAGGAAGAAGGAAGCGAAACTGATTCCGATGCATCAAGTTACAGTTACTCAGACTCAGATTACTCCGAGTAAGAAACATCAACAAATACCAAACATATGTGTAAAACTTTTATTATGTTACGTTAATGAGTTGAATTCATGCTAAGCTTCGTGTTTTGGTTCATTTAAAGGATTAGTTCACCCCAAAATGATAATTTTCTCATCCTTTACTCACTCTCAAACACAAAAGAAGATATTTTGAAAAATGTTTCAGGTTTCTGATTGAGTTAATGTTGGTTTCTTATTTACACATTCGTTCAGTGACAATTTGTGACTTGCTTCCTATATTGTTTACCATGGTACTTTGAATATTTGGTCTGAAATCACATCTAAATATGACCTCAAAACAACATTAGCACTGTTTATTTGACTGTGAACAATGCTGTACTTTGGGATTGGCTGCTAATATGATTTTACTATTTAGACATATTTTCTGACATATTATTAGGAGAAAGTCAGAATGTGTGAATATAAAACCAACCTGAGTAGAAACCTGTAACCCTTAACTTACCTGTTTGAAGAAAAAAAAATACAAATACAATGGAAGTCAATGGTTACAGGTTTGCAGCATTTTTCAAAATATCTACTTTTGTTTTCAAAAAAAGAAACAAAAAATGTTTGCGATAAGTGAAGAATTAATAAACGGAGACAGAATTTTCAGTTTTGTGTGAACTTTACCTTAAAGTTGTCTTGTTTTCAGAAATCAAGGTTCATGTGAAGAGAACGAGTAAGAAACATCAACATATGTATGTGTATTTATATATATATATATATATATATATATATATATATATATAATTTTATTTTATTATTTATTTTATTATTTATTAATAACTGCATTTTAATATCTTTGTCATTTACTTGATGAAGGTGTTTGCAGTCTGCAGTATTTAATTAGTAAGATAGATGTGTTATAATTATTTAATATGTAAAGCTTTTATTTTTACTTTTTTACAATAATGAGTTATAGCTAGTTTGAATTTATGCTACACTTTGTGCTTTGGTTCATTTAAAGGCACAGTTTACCCCAAAAATTAACATTTCATCATCATTAACTCATCCTCAAGTGATTTCAAACCTTTAGAAGTATCATTTTTCTGTTGAACACAAACTGAGACAATTTGTGACATTATATTATTAAGGAGAAATTCAGAATGTGTGGATATAAAGCCAACTTTACCCTTTAAGAAACCTGTAACCAGTGACCCTGTAACCTGTGAATTAATATATATTAATAACTGCAGTTCTAATTTGGATGTCTTCATGTTGCGTGCTTAATTTTAATGTGTCATTTACTTCATGAAGTTGTTTGCAGTCTGCAGTATTTAATTAGTAAGATAGATATGTAACCATTATTTTATATGTTAACAAAATAAAACTTTTTTATGTTGTTACATTAATGACTTATAGCTAGTTTGAATTCATGCTGCACTTCATGTTTTGGTTCATTTAAAGGGTTAGTTCACCCTAAAATAAACATTTACTTTTCCTTTATTCTCAAGTGATTTCAAACCTTTTTGAGTTTCTTTTTTCCAGTTGAACACTAAAGTAGATATTTAAAAAAATGACAGAAACCTGATTGACACAACGTCGTTTTTAATATTCGCACATTTGTTCAGTGACAGTTTATGACTTGCTCCATATAATGTTTACCATGGTGCTTTGATTATTTGGTCTAAAATCACATGTAAGTATGACTTCAAAACAACATTGGCACTATTTATTTGACTGTGAACAATATTATACTTTGATAGTCGGTCATTGGCTCCTAATCATTGCTGATTTCACTATTCAGACATATTTTCTGAAATTATATGATTAAGGAGAAAGTCAGAATGTGAGAATATTAAACCAACTTTACCCTAAAAATCTGTAACCATTGACTTCCATGGTTGGAAAAACAAATAGAATGGAAGTCAATGGTTACAGGTTTACAGCATTGTTTTAATGGTATCATTTTGCTTTCATTTAAAGAGATAGTTCACCCCAAAGTGATAATTTTCCCATCATTTACTTTCATGTGATTTCAGGCCTTTAAGAATATCCTTTTTGTTGAATATAAAAGGAGATATTTTGAAAAATGTCTGAAGGTAAAGTTGGTTTCATATTCGCACAATCCCTTAGTGACAGTTTGTGACTTGCTCCCTATATTGTTTACCACGTTACTTTGAATATTCTGTCTGAAATCACATCTAAGTATGACTTCAAAACAACATTAGCACTGTTTATTTGACTGTAAACGATGCTGTACTTGACATTGGGTGCTAATATAATTTTACTATTTAGAATTTGCAACAAATACTTCTGACATTATATTATTAAGGAGAAAGTCAGAATGTGTACAATGTTGTACTTTGTCATTGGCTGCTAATATGATTTCACTATTTAGACATTATTCTGAAATTATATTAGTATGGAGAAAGTCAGAATGTGAGAATATTAAACCAACTTTACCCTAGAAATCTGTAACCATTGACTTCCATTCTAGGAAAAATAAATAGAATGGAAGTCAATGGTTACAGGTTACAGCATTGTTTTAATGACATCATTTTGCTTTCATTTAAAGAGATAGTTCACCCCAAAATGATAATAAAAAAAAAACTTTCATGTGATTTCAGGCCTTTAAGAATATCCTTTTTGTTGAACATAAAAGGAGATGTTTTGAAAAATGTCTGGAGTTAAAGTTGGTTTCATATTCGCACAATCTTTTAGTGACAATTTGTGACTTGCTCCCTATATTGTTTACCGCGTTACTTTAAATATTCAGTCTGAAATCACATCTAAGTATGACTTCAAAACAACATTACAGCATTTAAAGCGTTTTTCAAAATATCTACTTTTGTTTTCAAAAAGGAAACAAAAATATGTTTATGTTTAAAAAAACAACTTTACGTCAATCAGGTTTATATTTATATATTTATATATATAGATAGATAGATAGATAGATAGATAGATAGATAGATAGATAGATAGATAGATAGATAGATAGATAGATAGATAGATAGATAGATATAGATATATATAAACCTGATTGACGTAAAGTTGGTTTTTTATTTGCACATTTGTTCAGTGACAGTTTGTGACTTGCTCCTTATAATGTTTACCATGGTAGTTTGAATATTTGGTTTTTAATCACATCTAAGTATGACTTTAAAACAACATTAGCACTGTTTATTTGACTGTGAACAATGTTGTACTTTTATAGTCATTTGCTGCTAATATCATTTCACTATTTAGAATTAGCGAATAATACTTTTTTGACGCTGTAACCATTGATTTACCTGTTAGGAAAAAAAATCATAATGAAGCTCAATGGTTATAGTTTTCCCGCATGTTTCAAAATATCTCCTTTTGCTTTAAAAATAAAAACTCAAAAATATTTGCGATTAAATAAACAATGGCAGAATTTACAGTTTTTAGGTGAACTATACCTTAAAGCTGTCTCATGTAAAGAGAAACTAGCCTTCGTCCATTTTCTGCCCCCTCTCGTTTTTTTTTAAAGGGGACTTTCTGTTTCCAATTTGGAAAGTCAGCCATCATAAATAATTATATGCTGTTCACCATCTTTAGTGAATTTATGGACGTGGTTGCCAAGAGCTAACCACCAAAGTAGTGTGGCTTAATTTAGAAATGGAGAGGAAAACATCAAGTCTGGCTGAATATTGGGTTTAGTTTTTCTGGAATGAGCGAGAGGATTCTGTTACGGAGGTTTCGGATGTGCGGCTTTCACTACTGCTGTCTGAAGCACTGCTTATGGAGTGTTTAGTTTGCTCTCAGATTCTGCTATGTGCTCCGTGTTATGTTTTTATTATTGGGTCTTGAAATACGCGTGTGGCTAAACTTGAGTGACGTAGAAATCGTTTTCAGCGCTTAAAAAAACAAGAATGTTGTCTTATACAGAATATAATGGTGGCACGGTTAGCACTGTCGCCTCACAGCAAAATGGTCTCTGGTTTGAGTCCCATCTGGGCCAGTTGGCATTTCTGTGTGGAGTTTACATGCTCTCTCCATGTTGGCGTGGGTTTCCTCCGGGTGCGTTTCCCCACAATCCAAAGAACAACAAAAAACAGACCTAGTCTAAAAGTAAACTATTTTTGCGCTGAATAGCAATTATTGGAGATTTTTTAATTACTTTTATTTGAAATTTAAATGCGGAGATGTTTGATAGTCATCAGCATCTTAAATCTACAGTAAATGTAAATGACAGTCAAATTTGACATTCTCTCTTCTGGCTGCCGTTTATTCAGCTATGTCAAATTCTGCTGCTGAAAAATTTCAAGACATGACATAACTTTTTTTTCTTTTGGAGTGATTGTAAAAAGGGCGGCACGATGGCTCAGTGGTTAGTACTGTCGCCTCACAACAAGAAGGTCACTGGTTCGAGTCCTGGGTAGGTCAGTAGGCGTTTCTGTGTGGAGTTTGCTTGTTCTTGCCGTGTTGGCATGGGTTTCCTTCTGGTGCTCCGGTTTCCCCTACAGTCCAAAACAGATGTGCTGTAGGTGAATTGAATAAGCTAAAATGGCCGTAGTGTATGAGTGTGTGAATGTGAGAGTGTATGCGTGTATTAGCATTGTTTCTTTTGAGTTGTGCAGTTTAAAGGCGTACTTACACTATGCTATCCGAACTGTGCCCAGGCCTGTTTCCCGGATAGTTTGAGAAGTGTGAGTGCGATGAATCGGGCTCAGGCACGGTTCACTTGGCCGGCCCTGGCCTGGTTGGAAGAGGTGGGCCTGAGCGCGATTCACTTGGTATGCTTGTGTATTAGTACAAAATGCGCCAAAGCCCGAAACTGAAAGCGAGACGTGACTTTTAAGGGACTGTTTCATATAGATTTACTAATCATTCTTACTGTTCAGTGAACGCAAACTGCCGTAGTGTATTAAATACGCAAACCCCTCACTGCACGACAGCTGCACCTTCAAACCTCCTCATTCCTGCAGCACGAGGACTTTATGATTGTTTATGAGCGTCAAAAGTGGCGGATTTGTTCAGTGAAATATCTGACTGCGTGTCACCGCATCCCTAAGGACTGTTTGGCGAAATATTTGACTGCATGTCACTGCATATCAAACAACTGAAACGATATAACGAGAAATCTCCACTGTGCTGAGTAGGGTTGTAACGGTATGAATTTTTCACGGTATGATAATCGTCTAAAACAATACCACGGTTTGACGGTTTCGCGGTTTACGGTATGTTACAAAATAATAGAACAGTGAAGCAAATTTGACTTTTTCCAAATAATATATTTTTAGTTACTATAAACAACACCACTTACAATGAACAAATAAAAATAAGAAAATAATAAATAATGTGTCAAAGTCCAAATAAACATGGTGCAAATCCTCAGTAAAAAATAGATATAAATATTTACTATACTATAAATAGTTACATAACGAAACTAGATTCAATATGGAACATCCCTAGATTTTATGTGCCAGCAAGGATATGGTTGTCTATGGATATGGATATGGATGTGGTTGTCTGCAATGCAGACAAACAGCTGCATCTTCATTTGCGTCTTTTGAAAACAGCAAGAGCAGCAGTTCGTCTTTGCTGTGTCACTGTTTTGTCATGTTTCTGTGCTGCTGTGCATGCAAAAGTACTTAGTATGAGAATTATTTCATGCAAAACTTTTTTTTTGCATTTTATTTAGCCGCGCATAAATGTATGCCTTTCTCTCATTCCGTGTTGTTCAAAAAGCTTGGTCCACAAACAAAAGCGAAACCTATGCTTATTGGTTGTGATATAGCGAGTTTGAACCAATCTGGGCATGGAGGAGGGACAATGCATCAATGTATCATGTCTGATTTGTCCGGAGACACAGTGACGAGAGTTTCTTTGTCAAATCAGCGTTGTCAAATGTTGATGACGTAACCGCACTGATTCCGGAGCCTCTGAAAGTCCGCGAATGTTATGTGATACAGCACTGGAAAGCTGAGATTCTCTTCTTTATGCCAATCTTTGAATTGTATGAATCGGATTAGCGGATCAAAAGTTATTAAACATTTAAGAGCAATACCTATTTTTAGCCGCGGGCGGCTGTCTCGGTCTTTAAGGGTTAAAACCGTTGATATACAATTGTTCATGGTATGATAATCGTGCACGTTCAAATCGTGGTAAACCGTCATACCGGTATATTGTTACAACCCTAGTGCTGAGCGAGAGCGCTTACTGAACAGCGCAGCATCGATGACGTAAACGTGGCCAGGCCCGATTGTAGTGTGAGTGCGGGCCGTTGGGGGAGACGGGTGTGCTTTGGCCCGGTTCGAGGCAACTGTACATAGTGTGACTACGGCCTAATTCACCGAATTTCTACAAAGTATGTTGTATACTGTAAACTTGCAGACTTTCTTTGGTCACATCCATAACGCATGTTTATTGTCCTCATTTAAAATATAAAAAATGTTTGCAGACTGATATTTTTCTGCTCCCATAACTCTGTGCTCAAGTGTTTTGCAAAATATATAATGTTAACATGTACTTCCTCTGTCTATTTATCTTTTGAGATTTTACTGTGAATGTCGCATCCATAACGCTGCAATTGCTCATGTACATACTTTTCCCCTCTTTGTTGTAATTTTACAAAAAATAAAGATATTGAGAAGTTACTGAGACGATACAATCCGCTTGTTAAGTGTGACGTCACGTGAAGCAGCTTCCGGGTCCAAGCGCTCTATTCAACTGAATGGAGAGACTCTTGAAATGGTAATAATAAACGTTTACATAGCGACTTAATACTTTCGAAAATCCCGATCGCAATATATATGTCCATGCCTAATATCCGATGGCCAGAAAGTGATTCATTTTTTTATAAATTGTTAAATTTTTGGTATTTGTTATGCAGCAAGCCCAGAGATTGTTGTTTACACTATGATTTTATATAAAATTAACTTTAATGTGTGATAGGAATAAAACCGCGATCATAAACGAATGATTTCTCCACTCAAATGAATGGCGGCTTGGACCAGGAAACAGTATTACATACGTCACCAACTAACAAGCAGATTCATTATTACAGAATAATAATTATTATGCCTGTTATTTATAGTATTTTCATAGCAATTTAAACTACCGTTTCAATATGTACAACAAGAAACAAAAGCTGGAGTTTTAATGCATATACTCTGTGGAAGAATGACTGAGTGTGTGTGTCTAACGCTCGGCCATACACACAACAACCACAGATATATTATAACGGCTGATGTGTGACTTGATAAACGTGTTGATTTGCAATATCCCCGGTGACAGGTAATGCGTGAAATAAAAAAGTCATGTCTGTTGTCCTAAGATGCATCAGTTCAGTCAGATTTCCACTTTTTTTTGTACTTGAATGTTAAAATGGCCCTCCTATGAATTAGTCACTGAAATGGCCCCTCACCAATTAGAGTTTGAGGCCCCTGCTCTAACGTCTTTTCCTCTGTGTTGTTTCGCAGTGATCTGGAGCCGGAATGGCTGGATGACGTCCAGAAGAACGGTCAGCTTTTCTACCTGGAGCTGAGTGATGGAGAAGAAGAGGCTCTACTGGCTCAGGTCTCCGCCAATCACTCCGCTGCCACCAATCACGTGCGCTTCAGCGAAAAGGAGGCGGAGATTATCACTGACAATGCAAAAAGGCAGGCAAACTCCAGCAACAAATCTGAAGCAAAACTCAAAAAGCTGACCAAGATCTTGAGACGGAAGCGGCGACCATCTCAGAGGAAAGCTGAGGGAAAAGACTCTTCCCAGCGTCCCGCTTCCATCCTGAAGAATCAGGCGGGACAGAGGCCTGGAGTGGTGGTTCAGCAGCAGCGTCTGAAGGATGTGTGTGTGTACCTGAACCCAAAACGCCTCAGCAGCGTCTCGTCTTCATCTGCTGACAGAGGCGGGCTGCTGGAGGCTTTACTGGGGGTCGTGCACAGACCTGGAGGAAATACAGGGAAAAGAGGAGGAAAACTCATCATCCATGGACTCATCCCTCACAGTCCTGCTAGCAAGTGTGCCGAGATTCTTATTGGTGAGAAAATAAGTCTCTGATGTATACAGTGTGTGTGAAGTTTCAGCTCAAAATAACAGAAAGATAATGTTTTTTAACTATCTAAAGCAGACCCTTTTAGGCTTTGATCCTGATTGTGTCATTTTGGTGACTGTCGCTTTAAATTCAAATGAGGTTGTGCTCTTTTTCAGAAGAGGGCGGTGCTACAAATGCCTGTGTTCAAAAACAAGACTATCGCTTTATGCTAATGAGGGAGAGATAGTCAGTAGTGGGCGGGGCTTTCCCCCTCTGATGACACGTACAAAGCGAAAATATCAATCAAAGTGTTTCTGCAGACTGTTTTAATCAAGTGTGAATACAGAAAATATAATTAATTTTCCTTTATACGCTGCCTATATTCACACACTGCTGCCACACAACTGTGTATAAGTGAAGTTTATTTATAAACTAATTTCGAGAGGAGCACGCCCTTATGATTGATAGCACCTGGTCCACATTAGCTAACTCTGATTCACCAATCAGACGACTCCTTAACCACTATAAATAACCAGAGTATCATACCATCAACCATCTTCGTCTTGAAGAATCCCCCCTTCCACCCCTACTCCTCCCATTTCCTTGTCAGGGCAGCCCGGAGGCCTAGTGGTTAGCGCCACGGTCACACAGCAAGAATGCCACCGGCTCGGACTCTACCTGGCCAGGTCGGCGTTTCTGTGCTGAGTTTGCATGTTCTCCTCGTGTTTGCGTGTGCTGTCACCGGGCTCTCCGGTTTCCTCCCACAGACCAAAAACATGTAACATAAGTAAACTGACAAATCTAAATTGACAGCATAGACACTTCATAGCATTTTATTCTACTTCCAACATTATCAAGCAGTGGAGTACTCGAGACCTACCTGAACTCGGTATATATACATATATATCCTCCATGCCTCATCTTGAGGGGCTTTTAAAGTTTATTCATGACAACTTGCTTTTGTACAATGTTGTTATTATTATTATAAGTATTATTTATTATTTGTATATTTATATTTGTTTTAATAAAAATTTAAAGTTGATAAATCAATTATGAGAAAATGAAGGCCCTTAAAAGCTATTAAAGTCTTTATCGTGCTTTTACGAGCTCTTACATTTTCTTCAAGCGTCGTACAAAGTGATTGACTCCAAAAAAGCATAAAGATATTTATTTTCCTTCTAACATTAACAACGGCGTGCTCGATCCACGCAATTGGTTCGGGCCAGGGCACGTCCAGCCAAACTCCTTCTTCCGGATGATTTCACGTATTTTGCAACAAACGTGGGAGGATTAAGGGTGCTTTCACACCTGTGAATCGATTCAGTTGTTCCGAAACAGAGATTACAATTGTTACATTGTTGCTCTTTGCTCTTGGAGCGGTTCACTTTCACACTGCAAAGTTTCTAATCGGACCAAAAGAGCTAAAACAAGTCACGTGCGAGTAAACTCTCCTTACATTGGTCAGAGTGTCAAGGTTTATTTTGCAGCGTCCCGCTTAGCTGTCAGGAGAGGTGGGGGTTTGATGGTGATTGACAAGGTGCGCGTGCGCGATGTGTCTAAGGAGAGATGCGGTGGGGAGGGGTGAGAAGGGTGCGCCACGTAGCCTATTTGATGACCGGGAGGGAGACGCGAGATTACCGGGAGATCATCACTCGTTTGCGGGCATCCGGAGACTCGCAAAACTTCCCGCCCTACTCATAATTCTCTCTTCATATCGCCGTAAGCCTATTACATATCCATACAACACTGTGATATAACCGCGCTCGGATCGGATTGCTTTCTCACTGCAATCGAACCGCTCCAGGGTTCGTTTCAATCGAGCCGAGACCACCTCACTCAAGCGATCTCGGAGCGATTACTTTGGCGCGGAACAGAGCGCGATTGCCCTGTTCACATATGCCAAACGAACCGCGCTAACTGGGCAAACGAGATACGTTCCGAAACAAAAGTGTAGGTGTGAAAGCACCCTAAGTGACGCTCTCCACATGAGGCGAAAGCATAGATCAAAACAGATGGAAAAATGTAGGACTGCAAACTCCTAGTTGGAGAAAGACGAGTTTAAACAGTGGCTGATGCCTGTCGATTAAAACAACCGCGTAATTTATTTTTTCAGGGTTTGTTTCTTCCGAGCTTATCTGAGTTCTGTTGTATGGTTGTGCTCCATTGATTTAATTAGCTACTACTGTTTATCAAGTTAAAGGTTTGATACTGATTGGAATTTGAAGTGGCGACGAGGTCTTAAAATATTCTTTAAAAGTCTTAAAAAGGTAGTGAAATTTCCTTTAGGATTTATGCATATTCACCTTATTCTCTGCAGACGAGCCGGCGCTGCCATTTGAATCTTTTTGTCTCGCGACTTCCGGTTACATTTACTTCCATTCATTTTTTGACGTTAACAACTGCTCGTTACGCTGCTTGATGTTGCAATTTAATATTTTCTTATTATATTATGCTACTTGGTCTGTATAGTCATGCAAACATTTGTTTGTTGAGCAAGTAGTTTGGCCATTTTCTGCCGTTTATTATTCCTTGTCATTTCTCCCATAAGCGACTGAATCGGAAGTTCTAAGACAATCGCGACAACAGGCGCACTTCCACATTTTAGAATAAGGTCAATACCCTGAATATTTACTACATAAAAATAAAAACCACTGCCTCCATGCCTTCTACACCTCAGGGGCTTTTTTCAGTTTCTCCATGACAATTTGCTTTTGTATAATGTTATTATTATTTATTATATGCATATTTATATTAGTTTGAATAAAAACAAGTTTTGATTTGTCCACCTAATGGTCGTCTTCATCACCATATGGGGCATAAGAACAGGACGTGTGTTTGATATAACTGTTTTTTAGACACACCTCATTATTATTGTTCATTTATTCGTTTGCTGAAAATTAGAACTGGATTTAGAAATCTTTGCGCTTAACAAATGAAATTAAATATGTAGGCTAATAAATGTGGAGTGAGTTTCCACAGTTTCCTTATCCACGAAAGTAAAGGAGTAGCAAAAGTAAAGTAAAGAGGCTGAATGGAGGAGGATCATTCTTTATCCTCGCGCTGCAGATGCAGTTTGACTGTTTTCTCACGAGTGAAGCGTTTAGCTTTTCCACTTACAGTACAAACCCTGTATGTAAATAGCAAATGCACCATGGTGTGATGCAGCTGACTCTCACAGGGAATGAGAGACGAGACTCTCATTGGTTTAATGCATGTTATGCTTAAAACACACCGAGAACTCATTAAGAGAATAAGCACAACCCTGTTAGACCAGACGCCAGGGCGCAGAGCATATTTTTCCATCCTTAAAATAGCAAAAGGGGATTCGCACACGCTCTTAATGCTTATGCACTATGCGCTTTAGACTTTGTGTTTAGATAATTAAAATAGAGCCCTACATGTTTGGCCCTCGACAGTTCAAAATTAGAATTGATGAAATCAGAAAAATATCTTTTACCTCTTTTTTTAATATCATTAAATAAATCATTTTAAAACATAACTAACAAAAAATAAAATTTTTCTCGGGAAATGTTATATTATAAGAAATATGGTTATCACAATACTCAACAGCAGTAATGCATATTGCGTATTTTTCCAGTGTTGAGCAGCTGTACTGTTTAGCTAAGTTGTGGCTCGGTGTTGTGGTTAGTTTTACTCTTATTCCCATTCACATCTGCACTTCATCTTTACACCCGTAACACATTTAGTATTGAAATCATGACTGAAAGTCAAAGAAAAAAAGAAGCAATTTCTTCAATTTCTCCATATTTACAGCGAATGTCTTTCTGTTGATGTATCAAAGCGACATTCAACAGGAACCGCAGTCGCTTTCTCCTCGAAGACACCAAAGAAATTCCAGACGGGTTACACTCCTCCACTCTCTTTACCCCAGCAGCGGTTTTTATGACCGTTTCTCAAACATACTAAAGCAATTAGAGCGGTTATCTGGAATAACTGAGCGAGATCTTTAATTGCAGAGTATGCAGATCTGCAGGTGGTGATGCTGTTTGATGTGCGTTTATCTTTAGAAATACAGTTTAGCAGAGCTACTCTTGCACGCTCCAGAACTGCAGAGGCTTATATGCAGTCAAAGTCTATTATTAGGCCTTTCTTTTTCACAGTATTTTTTCAAATGATATTCACCAGAGTGAGGAGTTTTTCACAGTATTTCCTATAATGTTTTGTCTTCTGGAGAAAGTCCTGTTTGTTTAATTTTGGCTAGAATAAAAGCAGTTTTTAGTTTTTTTTTTTTGCCATTTTAAGGTCAAAATTATTAGCCCGCTTAAGCTATATTTGATTTTGACAAACCATTGTTTATAAATAAAGTGAATCTAATTGCATTTGCATTTTAAAGATTAAATAAAAGTTTAAAAGATATTATTTTTTAGAATAATTCCACAGAAATCCATGTTTTTACCAAAATTCTCTGCAGAAATAGCAAAAAAACGTCCGCAGATTTCCGTCTGGCCCTAGAGATTACATTGTAATTGTTTGTTAATAATTGTTTTAATAGAGTTATTAAAGCAATTATGTTTAGAAATGTGTTGAAAAAAATCTTCTCTCCATTAAACAGAAATTGGGTAAAATATTATTCAGGGGGGGTTTTAACTCTATCGCCTGTATTATCTTTCTTCTTTCTATAGGTGATGCTCTGGTCGCTGTGGATGATGTGGAAGTCACATCAGAAAACATCGAGAGGGTTTTGTCTTGTATACCAGGCCCTATGCAGGTAAGAATACCTGCTAGATACATCACTGAAATCCCTTAAGGCCCATTTCCACTGAGTGACACGGTTCGGTTTGTACGTTTTTATGGCCGTTTCCACTGTCAAAAGGCGTACCGAACCGTACCGTACTGTACCAGTTTGTAGGCATTCTTTTGAAAGGGTACCAAACACGAGAAAGGGTACCAAAAGGTGGAGCTAGGCACGCAGCTGAACGCTTTTGTTTACAGAGATACGTCATTTGCTTGCGCAACAAGCCAGAATGAAAACAAAAGTGCCGCCATGTTTAAAATACACAGCTGAGGGATTACAACAGAATTACATATACATAATAACGAGCCATGGTCGACCCGAGATCAAACAAACCTTATCGTCTTGATGAACAGCCACAATGCCAAGAAGAAGAGCAGATTTACTCTGTGCCCCTTAGTTTTTTACGAGCCAGTCTGAAGTGGGAGCGGTTTCACTTTCTTCCTTGCAGTCGGCGCGCGTCTATATCTAAAATAACAAACTTCTTGAGCTGATGATAATAACGTGCGCTTGATCATTGAGATGCTTTTGAAACCCCATCCTGTCAGAAACTGACAAACACGAAAGTGAAGCGCGAAAAAACAAAGGAGAAGCCGGAAAAAAAGAAGCACATTATTTCTTCAGCAAATGTAAACAACCTGCCATGTTGAACTATTATCATCATCTTTTGGACTAATATGAACTCTGAATGATGGAATGACTCTCTAACAGAGGCTACATGTGCTGCTGAAGTTTAAAGACACAGATAGAAGGTTTGCACTGACTGTAGGCTATATCAGGGTTCAACGGTAAGGATTTTTTCTACTGATCCGACCGGGCCAGTGGTTTAGATTTTTACTTGCCTTGCCAAAAGTTTTACTGAATTTTTTTAAAAGAAGTTAATAGCTTTTTTAACCACATATTTTAAATAATATGTCAAAAATAACGTCTGTGAATCTAGCATTTCAATACTTTAAAAAAAGTTAATAAATGGTTAATAAGCAAAATTCTAAGTGTTATGCAAACAAAAAGAGCAGTATGGAAAATGTGGAGGTATTTTATTGCTGTTCGAAATTATTTAACAAAAGGTGGCTGACTTGCCAAACTGACGGCAAACTGTGCAAAACAACACTTCATTTATTTGTTTTGTTGTTACCACGTAAATGTCTGCTTCCAAGACACAGGAACATGACTTTTTTTTTTAGCCTTATAATGTGATGTTGTCGCCATGTTGCCGTTTCTTCACTGTACTGATTGTCATCAGGTTATGGGGAAAAACAGTATGCTCAAAACATCAAGAGGAACCGATAAGCAATATGGTATCTACGACATCACAGAGAAGATAGCATTTAAAGACTTAAAAGCACAAAATTAAAATGCACGCAGTTGACAAAAAGTCACAGATTAAACTTTAGTGACAAGGCAGCACTGTCCCAATCGGGCCAGTAATGATCCTGTCTATTGTCCCAAGTGTCTCTCATACTGGCCTTGGGCCACCGGGCAGTCCTTATTGTTGAGCCCTGTATATGTTGCATTGTTTTTGAACCCAAATAAGGACTAAATGTCTGCTGTGTGCAGTTTTTCTGTAGTTGGTATCATATCAGAGACTGTAAGGGTCTGTATGTGTTCATATATAATGCATTTATTTATTTATTTGATAAAATTACCGACGTTACAGTAGGCTATTTCGCACTGTCATTGATCTGCAGTTATAATCAGATCATGTTCATAGAAAAGTTAGTAATAAACATTCATACACAAGTATTTATGTGTGTAAAGCGTCTGCTTTGTGAGAAGAGCTTCTCGTATGATATGTGAACGAACTGTACAGATTTACTGTTGACATTTCCCTGAGCGAGAATAACGTCGACTAAAACTCTGTCATACAACACGCCCACCAAAATGGGTACCCTTGGTAGTGGAAATGCAAGCCTGATAAAAGTGACCCGTACCAACATGAACCGTACCGTACTGTACCAGTCAATGGAAACGAGCCATTAGAAACAGCAGAGCAACCTGTTAACACTTTAAAAACACCATAGTTTTTTTGTAAACAAATTTTTTTTTATATTTTTAAAGCATTTTCCGCAAAAATAATCACTTTACTGTGTTTAAGAAAATCTACCAGACATTAGCCCCTTTCACACAGTGATACCAGTAAATATCCGGAAAATTTCTGGAGCTACTTTACCAGGAAATCCAAAAAAGCGATGTTCACGCAGGCGAGAACGTTACGGAATTTTTCCAGAAAAGAGCATTCACACATCCGTTCCAAAATACCGGTAAATTCTGACATCATTACCCAGAAATGAGCTCTAAACGGCTCCAGTTATATATGTAAACACAGATGGGGTCAGGCTTTTGTTGATGGTCTCACTTATATATACAGATTTAGGAGCTGTTTTGTCCCAGAGACATCCAACGGCAAAGCGAACCGCAGCTAAATGTTTACTTTATGGATAAGTTTTGTCAACAACTTTGATGTAAACATATGGAGGAACACTTCGCATTTTGAGATGTGCATTTGTTTGTGTGCTAGCACTCACAGAAGCGCTTCTTCACGTGCACGCAAATCACGCAGCTGAACACAAAGCTTGCAGGTGAACTCATCACGGTTTATCGTGAGCAATTATTATTTTCACAGTTGGCGTTAAAAATGAACATTATCTGACCTACAAGTAGCTGCTAAATGTGTCTAGGAAAAGGAGTCAAAGGCGTTTATTTTGATAAACAGCATGGATGTGAATGCGTCTGAATGTTCTGATTGGCTGGAGTAGACCTTTCACGAAAATTGCCAGAACGAATTACTGGTATTTTCAAAAAGGGCCTGTTCACACATACAGACCTTTCCGGAAAATTAGCGGTCTGGGGTGCGTTTCCCAAACAACAATATAACCTGCGGCTGAACTATCATAGTACGATGCATTGTTTGGGAAAAGATCTATGTAGTGACGAGTGTTTACCAAAACCCATAGTTTCTCTGTGGCAGATCCATCGCTTGAAACACGTTAGTTATAACGTAAAACGCCCATAACGATGCTCTAAACAGGGTGGAGTATCAACTTCTTTAGAGAAAAACCCATAATTTCTTTGTGCAAACTATATTGTTTTACACGCAAGAATCCAAAAAAATCAATATTGGATTTGGTAAAAACATGCACTCGCTTACATATTAACTGATAAATATGTAAATGGCACATATAGGACCTGTGTTTGCTTGAGTAAAATTATTGAGTTGAACATTATTCTATTTTTAAACGTATCACTTACAAAAGCTATTCTAATATCATATATAAATCATATAAATATACTAAATAAATAATGAGGCGATTTATTAAGAAATTAAATTTAGTATTTATTATTTATTAGATATGAAAAACATACTTTAATAATATTATTAATTATATTAATGATGATGATGATAATTGTTATTATTAATAAGGAGGATATTGTTTATTTATTTTTAATTTAAAACTACTTTTACAATTTGAGACATGAAAACCACTGCAGAAGTGTTCTAACCAGCAGGTCCATGTCATATGCAGTACAGACATGTAATAAATAACCCACTATGAATTAAAAGAATTAACGTTTTCTTTTTGTTTTCACAAGCTTTAGAGACTTCCCATAAATTCCACTTTTAAATAATAGGTCACCTATAGCTTTTGCCATGAGGCTTTGTTCAAAATGGCATCAATGTTTTCAAAGTGCACTGCGATGGGAGCACAATTGAAAACATGAAGCTCGCTAAAACTGAACTGTAAAAATACTTTGGAAGCAAATTACACGTAAGAGAGATGACTCTAATGCTTTTTTATTTTTAATAATTCCAACTTTGAATGTTCTAAATGAATAGGGCATAGGGGGGATAAGTGGGAATAGAACACAGTCAGGAACTATGTTTCTAACGACAGCTCCAGAGCTTTAGTTGCGAGTGCTCAAGTTTGCGACGCAGTTGAGCGACGGATTTGGGAAACGGCAAATCAACAAACTATGTTTGTAACGACGGAACTTGCGACCTTAGTTGGCTAACGATAGTTTTGGGAAACGCACCCCTGTATGTGTGAAAGGGGCTAATAATATTTCACTTCAGCCATAGCTTCATATGCAGTGTTTTTGAGATATTATTAGATAAACTAAACAAAACTGCCTAATTAAGCTTTCATGGTTATGAGATTTGCACCGCTCACAGCCAGCATCGATGCGTTTTTCTGTAACTAAAGCTGGAAGCACGTCGTTTGTTTGATCTGTTCTTAAGCTGCATTTCATCTCTCTCGTTCTGAAAGAGGAGGAATGTAGAAATGACAGAGTTTGTTCTCCGCAGAGCGACACTGGTTACGGTAACTCTTGTTTTCATAGGCCACAGGAAAAGAGCCATTACCCTGCGGAGAAGAGAGTGATTAAAGGACCAAAACCCGTAGCAAATTACACCGTAGCACAGAAAAGGACAGAGCAGGCTATTATGATATTAGTGCTGAGGAACTGAGCTGTTGTGAGGTTTACACAAGCTCGCCAAGATTTTAAAATGAGCTGGAGAATTATGAAATTATAAGGTGAGCGTAACTGAGGTTTTACTGAGGTAAAAGTCACTAAACCACAGGAACAAAACCATCATGTCCACTGGTAACTGCCTTTCTCTGCAATCTGGCAATGGCAGAAAAAAGAAAGGATGCTTTTATACAAAAGCACGCACGTTATACTGTGTTACTACATTGTAGATTCTTAAAAAAACTGCTTTTATTCATTTATTCATTTTCTTTTTGGCTTAGTGCCTTTAATATTCTGGGCCCGGTTTTTCAAAAGTAATCCACTAGGATTTTGGATAAGGGATTGGATCAAATCTTGAAAATGGGTTTTTCAAAAGAAAAAACGGATTACATAATCGGATTAGATCACGTAATCTAATCTTGGTTTTGATCCGGATCAAACCTTTAGTTTGGGTTTTTCAGACCTTTTTTGTAGGATCTGGATCACTTTGATCCAAAAAACCTGGATTAAACTGATCCCATCAGAAGGGTGGATTTAGCGTGGATTTCATGGCCGAAATGTAATGAAAACTTAAAAAATTTATTAAATAATACTATTTTTGGATCATACAGTATCTTACGAGATATACTATTTATTCATAAGGTTTTCATTTTATTTGTTCATCCGTCAGGCTATAGTGAGTATAGGCTTTAACGTATTTAGCCTTCAAGTATAGGCCTACAGCAAAGTAGAACGAGTTTGGCCTCATAAAATAATCCCCCAAACAGCTGTCAAAACTGACCAAAAACAATAAATTTTATTCTGTCAATAATTGATATATATATTCATCACAATGTAAAATATTTTTCTTTTTAGAATATTTATTAGTGATGCATGCAATGATTACAGAATAACAAAAAAAAAATGCAAAGAATGGCAATCACTGATTTTTGAAATCTCTTTCAACAATTGCAAAAAGAGACTGAAAGGGCAGAAGCACAGCTTCGTTTGGCAGAGAAACAACTGAATCTAACCAAACTGCAGCAAACCAAGGCCAATGACTTGAGATCCGCCACCTAAAGGCTACGCTCAGACAAGCTGGTCTCTCCACATCAGATGAGGAAGTCTGAACTTATTGTGGAGTTTTTGACATTAAGTCTTTTTTTTTTAAAATTTAAATCTATATTTGAAACTTATTATAAATATCCTCAATGTACAGTGTTGTAGGTCTCAGATGAGCGGACTGCTTAAAGAGGATGGGGTGTTGTTTTTCTTGTTTTTATTATTTATTATTTATTATTATTTTAATAATTATAAAATTTTCTTAGTTTTCATTTCAAATAAAAATAAAGATATATTGACCCCACGCTGGCTATTCTACTCTTTGCATATCTATAGTTCTACATTGTGATGTCCTATCCTGTTTGAGCACTGGTTATCCAGATTTAGTGATCCTGAAAAGTTCCTATCCGGATCAGATTGATCCAATCCGATGTTGCTTTGAAAAACTGGCTCAAAAAGTAAGCTGGATTACATGACCACTGATCGCAAAAACAGGATTACTAAATCCAGATCAATTTTATCCGGATTAAACCTTTTGAAAAACCGGGCCCTGGGGTCGCCACAGCGGAATGAACCGCCAACTTATCCAACACATGCTTTACGCAGCAGATACCCTTCCAGCTGCAACCCATCACTGGGAAACACCCATACACCCTTACATTCACACGCATACACTACGGACAATCTAGCCTACCCAATTCGCCTATACCACATGTTCATGAACTTGTGGGGGAATCCGAAGCACCCAGAGGAAACCCATGCGAACACGGGGAGAACATGCAAACTCCACACAGAAATGGCAGCTGACCAAGCTGAGCCCAGATTTCTTGTGGTGTGGGAATAAATTTCCAAATAAAACATGGTATCAGACGGTAACTCTGGCGTAATTTGAACGGGAGCAGGCGGGCTAACAATGTAGCGTTCCTGAGTCCCGCCGTTATTTCGGAACAGCATATCTGGCCATATTTGATCTGTAACATAGGGGAGACAAAAATCTGAACTGAGTCACTTGCAGTGCAGGTTTTTTTACAGACTCTTCACCACTGCAGCGATCATGCTAATATTTGCCTGTGCTTTCTAATGGTGTGTGTGTGTGTGTTTTAGGTGAGGTTGACTCTGGAAACAGTGTGTCCGGCCGGCGTGTCTCCAGAATCCAAGGTGTCGGCATCTCCTCAGGTCAGTCAGCTGGTGCGTCTGCTGTGGGGCGAAGACACGATTGAGCTGCAGATGTCCATCGCTGACGTCCCGCACATCGCCATGTTCCTCTCGCTCAGACTTGACTCAGAGACGCAGCAGGATGAGGTCAGTCTTGTGTAGCAATGTCAAGAATGAGTTATGGCACACTACCAGGGCTTAACATTAACTCTTTTGATCACCAGCCACTGTGGCTAGTAGTTTCCCAACGTTACTAGCCACTCGCCATTTCAACTAGCCACAATTTTCTTGTTGGGAAAATATATTTTATACGCATAAATTTGACTTTTACATGCTAAAATTACTTGATTTAGAGCAGGGGTCACCAATCTCGGTCCTGGAGGGCCGATGTCCCTGCAGGTTTTAGCTACAACTTGCCTCAACACACCTGCCTGGATGTTTTAAAGGGCCAAGAAACCCCTCGTTTCAGCAGGGTGTTTTCACACCTCTACTTTGGAAAAAGTCAGAAAAGTGGGCGTGTCCAGCTCTGTTTAGGGGGAGTGTCGGAGGAAGAAAAGAGGCTCGGTGTGGGAGTGTCTATTTGGGCGCGATGAATTTCAGAGTCAAAACACACACACAACAGGGGAGAAAGGGACTGTTTACATGGACATCTGTAGTCGAATTATTTGCCAAATTATTAAAAGGTTGGACTTTAACTGCAGTTTGGCTCTTTCATTCAGGGAATTCATTCATGTCCCTCGCCACAAACAAGATATTTGATTCGAGGATCTGCTCTAAGCGTGTATTTTCATGCAATGTTTGATACCGCACAGCGAATGAGAGAAAAAAAAACTCAGCATTTCCCGGAAACTTAGATGCACACGGCAGGTAGCGTCAGAAAGCCGCGTGTGTTATTCCGGTCACAAAATCCTACACGAGGTTATAGTTTGGTTGTAGTGCTAACTTGTTTACACTCGGTGCAATAGTTTGTTCGATACGAATAAAATACGAACTGAATAAACAGGGCGCTGGTCGCTCACTTATCAAATCTGTTGAGACAGGACAATCACCAGCAACTAGAGCCGCGTCTTTATTAAGAGAAGACTACAAGCGAATCCGGATTTCAGCGTTTGCAGATGAGAACAGCTCTCAGGTAAACAATGTTCCTCCTTAGACACGTAAGTTATTGTTGTCGAGCGTCGCGTACAATGTTAATCCACACGTGACTCCAGCTGCGCTCTCGCAGAGAGAAAATGAAAACAAAACTTAACTGCAGCAAACTATAAAAGCAACACTTCACGCTTGTTTTGACAACACAACGTGGCGTCTCTGTCGTCTAAACACTGTGACAGTAATGAATATTAATGAAGTTGCACAATAGAGCGCGCTGATTGGTTTGAACCAAGCCTTACTCATGCATTAATGCATCACACTGTAAGACGTAATAAAGCACACTCTGGCACAGACGTCCAGTCTGCACGCTGGAATACAACGCTATTATGTCATGACCGTGACGCAGCTTCAAAAATTCGTTTCAAACCGGAAGTACGAATTTGCTTGAAATAACACAAAAACAACCAATTTACACTTTTTAGTGAGATATAGGTGTCCTAATAGTGTTAATAGCAGTGTGGGACACATATACGACTGTCAACAGCTCAAAACATGTGTTTTGGTGTTTCGTGACCCTTTAAGTATACCTAGTAAGACCTTGATTAGCTTGCTCAGGTGTGTTTGATTAGGGTTGGTGCTACAGGACACCGGCCCTCCAGGAACAAGTTTGGTGACCCCTGATTTAGAGTTTGCATAATCTCTACTTGCCTTCTCATTCATTTCACTTTTTGTGTGTAGTGTATGAGCTTGCTCAATCGAGCAAATGGGTCAGGGTTTCATATATTACAATTAGTTTTCATAATTCTCAGAGCCCAAAATGAAGGATTTACCCAATTTTTCTCTGACCACAAATTTTAAACTTGTCAAAACAAGCAAAACATAGCTGAATATACTTTTTATTTAACAAAACATATGCACAGTCATATGTCCTGGCTAAAGGTCCCAGATCCCCAGATCTCCTATTAAAGCAATGTTATTGTAAAAAAAAGTATATTAAACCATATTAATGCAAAAGAAGGCAGGTAAAAACATACTGTGTGATAATGAAAGGATGAACACACACACACACATGGTTAATGTTGACCCATGAATAATCCGTTCAAAAAATGATTAAAACGAAAGCAACTGGCGCTGCTTACCATAAGTCAACTCTGGAACTCTTAAATGCAGCAAGGCTGTAGGTGCATGTTCCTCCCTTTTTGTTCAGTCTATTTAAAAGAGAATTGATCGCATCACTTGTACTTCTAGACACAGTTGCTTCACAAAAGGAAACGGGATATAAACAGTCGCGCGCATCATTTCAGCTGTTAGCGCGAGTGATTATCCTCTCATTCGGTATTCACCTGCTTTGCTCGTGCGAAGTTGCGAACGCAATTATTTTTGTCCGTCGTGTTGCTTCTCGATCGCCTGTGAATGCATCTTGGACCATCCTTAATGTCAAACCCTGCTTTTAAGAATTATTATCTGGGAAAATTATTTTCAACCAGCCAAAGTGGCTAGTGGGAGCGTCTGTCTTACCCGCCACCGCCGAAATCTACCCGCATTTGGCGGGTGTTAATGTAAAGCCCTGGATACTACATTCATACATCAATGCAAAATATCAAAAGAATTACAAATGAAAACCAATCAAAACTAACCATATACAGGGTTTCCTCTAGGACACAGGTGTCAAACTCCAAAAGGGCCGCAGCTCTGCACAGTTTAGTTCCAACCCTAATTAAACACACCTGATCAAACTATTTGAGTCCTTCAGGCTTGTTTGAAACCTACAGGTAAGTGTGTTGCAGCAGGGTTGGAACTAAACTGTGCAGGGCTTCGGCCCTCCAGGAATTGAGTTTGACACCCCTGCTCTAGGATTTTTTTCCAGCTGTGGCGGCAGGCCTTTTTTTACACAGATCTATTAACTACCTGTGCCGTTATTTCAATGACAAATGTCGTGAGCGCAGTATTACAAGTCGAGATTGATTTGCTCGCGCGCCGATTTCCTCTGCTCTTCTTACACGCCCCATCAAATTTACGCTGCTCAAGTGCAGATCTTCTGCACTCTCAAATAAACACTGCTGAAGTGTGATTTAGAGCGTTTATGTATCAAAAGTATGTCTCCAACATTTATTAGATTTGCTAGCAGGCCCGGATTGGCTAATCGGGAGCACCGGGAGAATTTCAGGTGGGCCGGTGCGTTTTTTGGCCGCGAGGGCCGCTGTCCCTAGCTGCTTGCACTCTCGGCAGTCGCACTTTTTTCATTTATTTATTTATTTGACCATAGCCACACTATTTTTATTCATTATTTTGCCGCAGCTCGGCTCTTTTTATTTATTTTCTCGCAGCCCCATGAGCAAAATGCAGCCCGCAGGTTAATGATGATGTAACTAAGTTATCATTCGACCCCAAACAGCGCCGCCTTAGTGAATATTAATTAATATTAATGAATAATACACCTGCTCAATGAAACTCAGATGATTTACTACATTAATAGATCTGACATAACTTGATCAGAAATCTAAAAAAAAAAAAAAAGATAACAGTGCAATACTTATTTTATATCCCGGACACACCATTCTATCAGTGCCATCTTGGTCTAGTGGTTAGCACATTGCGTTATCATGCCGCCGATCCGAGTTCGATCCTCACTATGATAATTTTTTTTTTTTCATTTTTAGTGTTAAGACATATAATACTGTTTGGGTTACTTATGTAGGGGTACATTTTGTGTGTGTGTGTGTGTTTGTGTGTGTGTGTGTGTGTGTGTGTGAGACGACCGTTACAAAGGACTGGATATCTATAAAGAATTAATGCTCTCATATTTATGAAAAACATTTGAAGTTCTAAAGCAGCTGTGTCCTTGAAAAAGACAAGTAAGTGTCATTAGAAACCGGATTGGAAATAACGCTATTTTAATATAGTCAGTCGTCGACTGAGGTAGGCTGGTCTAAGGCTTGAAACTCCAGAGCAAAAAAGGAGTCCCACTCCGGCCCTGTTTACTAGGAATATTTATGAATGTCTCCAATAGACCTACAGAGCGGCATTGTAGCTGAAAGCTCAAAGACGTCACGTTGTACTCGCCGGTGCAGACAGCCAGTCTACACGCTGGAATTTACACAAGGATCTAATCGCTTCAAAAATTCTTTACAAACCGGAAGAACAAATTTGCTCAAAATAGCGCAAAACAACCAATTTTTACTTGTTAGTGAAATATCTGTATCCTAATAGTGTTTATAGCAACGTGGCACACATAAATGACTGTCAACATTTCAAAAAATGTGTTTTGGTGTTTCGTGACCCTTTAAGAAAAACTATAGTTTGCCCTAAAATTTAAATTTGACAATGCACTTCCTGTTTGTTTTGAGTTAAATTTTCAGATTAGGTCTGTCTGAGGTATTGGGCGGGGCTAACATACTTAACCACGCCCCTCCAGCTGTCAGAGTTGACAGCAAACAGAAATGGTGAACAGGAGGAGGAGTCTGTTGGGTTGTGATAACCCTCCCCAAACCCTTTTCAGATCTCTCTGAATGACCCGCCTTTTTTACTACATCTAATCAGCTCGCAGTAGAAACAACAAGCCACGCCCACTGTTTACTTAATATTCTGTTTCTCTAGGAACTGCATCACAATACATGGAAAAAAACAGTCGCAGCTTCCAGTTCATGCAGGCTTTAATTAAATAAATGTGTGTGTCTGTGTGTGTCTGTGTGTGTGTGTGTGTATTTTTTAAATGTTTAATGCGTTTGCATGATTTCACCGTCCAGAGTTTCCCTCATTAAATCTGTCAGGATGGAGGATGAATGACTCTGTGCAGGTTTAGTGTGACGTGAGGAAATTGGAGAATTAAAAGAGAGAGAGAGACGTTTGCTTTCGACTGGCTAAATAATTCACTTTCCCAACAGAAAGAACGAAACACTCCTCATGACTGCGGAAGCTTTTCTATTATCAGTTCATGAAGAAAGAGGAGAGGAGGAAAGCGCAAAGTAAAGCTTATAAAATGATGGAGATTTTCCAATTTTGGCTCAGTGGTTGGCACTGTCGCCTCAGAGCAAGAAGGTCGCAGGTTTGAGCCT